GAATGCCTTGGCTTGCAAGTGCGGATCACACGGTCAACTTCCACCGGCGGACTCACGACGCCTTCGGCGCCCAAGTGGCGTGTACTATTCCTCTACCCCACCCTTCGATTCGGTGCCAAGTGGTGACCGCCAAATCATTCAGGGCAACTTGCGCTTACGAGCAGCCCGAGGAAATCGGCCTATGTTTCCTACGGACCGTCGCGGTTGTCGACTCTTCACCCACGGACTTGTCTTCGGACCCCCGGGTGGTGCGGTTGCTGGACGAGTCCGCCGACATCTTCAAGACACCTACCGGTGTGGTGCCGGATCGGCCGATCTCTCACGCAATCATTCTTGAGGCCGGTGTCGTGCCGCCGAAAGGTTGCATCTATCGGATGAGCGAGGAGGAGCTTGAGGTCCTCCTCGCACAACTCGACGATTTGTTGGCCAAGGGCTGGATCCGCCCGAGTAGCTCCCCATATGGAGCACCAGTTCTCTTCGTCCGGAAGAAGAACAAGGATCTGCGATTGTGTATCGACTACCGCAARCTCAACGCGCAAACCGTCAAGAATGCGGGGCCTCTTCCTCGCRTCGACGATCTTCTTGAGCGATTGGGCGGCGCAAAGTATTTTTCGAAGTTTGATTTGAAATCAGAATATCATCAAATCTCGATCCGGCCGAATGATCGCTACAAATCCGCGTTCAAGACGCGGTACGGGCATTTTAAGTGGGTGCTCATGCCTTTTGGCCTCACCAACGCCCCGACGACCTTTCAAGCGGCAATGACCAACGAGTTCTGTGAAATGTTGGACCGGTTCGTGCTGGTCTACTTAGACGATATTCTCGTCTATAGCCGGACTTTGGAGGATCATCTTGCGCATCTTCGACATGTGTTGGAGACGCTCCGCCGCGCCAAGTACAAGGCCAACCGTGATAACTGCGAATTTGTTCGGCAAGAGCTGGAATACTTGGGCCATTTTGTCACACCGGAGGGCATCAGTGCGCTATCGGACAAGATTCAAGCCATCCAAGAGTGGTCGAAGCCTCGGAACGTCACGGATATTTGTTCATTCCTTGGTCTCGCCGGCTACTATCAGTGTTTATGAAAGGCTTCTCGAAGATCGCGGCCCACTTGACAAAGCTTCAATGTGAGGATCGACCGTTTGACTTCGGAGAGGAGGACCGATAATCATTTTTGGCTCTGAAAGCCGCGCTATTGTCTGCGGAGGTCTTGCAGATATACGACCCGCTTTTGCCTACGTGCGTCACTACGGATGCGTCGGGCTATGGCATTGGTGTAATCCTCGAGCAACATGATGGTGTGGACTAGCACCCGATCGAGTATTTCAGCAAGAAAGTGCCCGTCGTGCATTCCATTGACGATGCACGCAAGAAGGAGCTCCTCGTCTTCGTCCACGCGCTCAAGCGGTGGCGACACTTCCTCCTTGGCCGAAGCCAATTTTGATGGGTAACGGACAACAATCCGTTGGTCTTTTACAAGACCCAAGACACCGTCAACAGCACCATCGCTCGATGGATGGTTTTCATCGACCAGTTCGACTTCTTTCCCGATCACATTCCCGGGAAGTCGAATCGTTTTGCGGATGCTCTTTCACGACGTCTGGATCATTGTACCCCGGTCTACTCGACCTTCGAGATCGACAACGACCTGCGGAACAGTTTCATCCGCGGCTACCAAGCCGACCCCGAGTTCTGTGACAAGTACGCGAATTGCTCCTCTCCTAATCTGGCGCCTTCTCACTACCGGATCCAAGAGGGTTACTTGCTTGTCCACACACGGGGGAAGGACTTTCTTTGTGTACCGAGTGATCCTCACTTGCGTACACGGCTTCTTGGCGAGTTCCCTGATGCTCCCGCCACTGGACACTTTGGAGTCAATCGCACGATTGGCCGACTTCGCGAGCGATTTTCGTGGCCCGGCCTTCTCGGCGACGTCACGCGCTATTGCGAGTCATGAGAGGTTTGTCGGCGCTGCAAATCCCGCAACCATCGTCCATACGGCGAGTTACGACCATTACCGGTCCCGTTAAGGCGAAGGGAAGCGATTGCCATGGACATTACCGGCCCGTTCCCCAAGCACAAGACCGGAGTGGATGGGATTCTCACGGTGGTCGACCGACTCACCAAGTTCGCCATGTTCTTGCCTTGTCGCTATTATGCCAAGGCACCGAAGTTGGCCGAGGTTCTCTACGCCGGTTGGATTCGAACCAAGGGTTACCCCAAGGAAATCGTCTGCSCCCGCGACACTTGGTTCATGTCCATTTGGTTGGCGCTCATCAAGCGATGGGGCTCATCTCTCAAGCCCAGTTCAACTCGCCACCCTCAGACCGATGGCCAAACAGAGAGGGCGCACCAGACCGCACAGGTTCTCCTTCGCACTCTCGTTCCTCCT